CGCCGAGCCGAAATCTCTAGATTTTAATGCTGGCTGTCAGTTTTCATCCTCTAATTTAGATTTTTCCTATCCAACAGTTAATGTATACTTTAGCCTTGCCGGACTAACTCTGATTATTACATCAGAGGCAACTTGACTTTTAATATAAAATAATACATTAATTTTGTGAAATTGGATTTAAACTTTTAATTTCCATTAATTCTTTTGATCTATCTAAAATGCCTAATTTAATTAAAATATACAAAGAGGTAAAAATAACTATTATCAATACAAAAAGCTATACCCTCTTCCATCATCATATCTGGAATCAGATGAGTTCCCATAGCCTCTTCTTTTCTTCACATCTTGCTGAAGCAGAGTTTTGAAACTGCAACAAGGGGCAAAAAACAGGTACCACCTTTAACAACATAAAAGACATTTCTAGGATTTAACTATCATCTCTGTGTGAAGATGACTAAACCTACTTAGCTCTGAACACACATTTCTTACAGCCAACTGGGTACCACCATCTAGCCCAGGGTGTCCAATCCACCATTTTTTGTTATTTCTTATTTGCTAGTAACTCCCCTAGACACAGCAAGAAGCCTGAGTCATCCTTGACCTTTCTCCATTCTAAATCACTTGTCAGATTCCAGAGTCTGCCTTATAGTACCTCACATTCAGCGCCCCTGCCAACAGCCTCTTTGAGGCTACCTTGGGGAAGGAGAGGCCCAGGTTGGTGTAACAGAGGCATAGGGCTTCTGAAAATCCATTTAAATGGAATTTGTGGAGGGGGAAGGATTATACAAAAAAGATGAGACAAAAAGTGCTTTTATAGAACTGCATGTCAGTCAGGCCAGTTCCCTGAAGAGAGAATTCCCAGCCTGACCTCATTCATCTGTGAAGACACAGAGCAATCCTTGTTTAGACGCACACATTCATCTACTTGTCCACTGTGGTCAGCCCTTCACTTCTTGATGGTTTCCTTCCGCTATGAATGTGCTTGTCCATTTGTCTGCTTCTTAGAGCAGACATTTACCTAAAGGAAAACAATGGAAGAGTTACGAGTTATTAATTTGGATCTCCATGAAAAGCCCAACACATTACATTTTATAAAATCCCACAAGATTGGGTGGCGCCTGTGGCTCAGAGGAGAGGGGGCCGACCCTATATACTGGAGGTGGTGGATTCAAACCCAGCCCCAGCCAAAAACTACAAGAAAAATAAATAAATAAATAAATAAAATCCCACAAGATAATTCCAG